AACTCCCAGTACTGAAGGAGATCTCGCCATAGGAACACATTGTTGTGCATCAAGGTGTCACTGATTCCATTGTTTGGCATCTCAAAGGTGAGATTTTCGTCCTCGAAGGCCAGGTCAATGTCAGTTGACAGTCCAACGCAATCATTGGTGATGCCGGTGTTGTCTTCACTTTCATCCCCATCACCCTCACTGTCATTTTTGCCTCACTCACCGCTTCCCCCCACCAATTCAGATGCAACCAGTGGTCCTTCGGGTATTGGGAAATGTGAGTCCAGCTGAGGATCAATGAAGCGAGCAAAGTGGGCCCGAGCGTTGAAAGAGGGCTCGCGGCTCTCTATGCCGACTAAGCTCGTGGGGCCAAACTCTCCAAAACCTCTACTTTCTCTCTTGACTTCGCTATGCTCGATCCTAAAACTCCGTGGTGGGTTCTCCGGGATTCCGCAAGGTCCGGGCTCAACTAATCTACTACCCACTCGTTGTGGGCTAGACAGTTGCCCTTATTCCTACTGTTGGATTCCACACACTCACTCCAACTCTAGCGCGTCCTAGAGAATTTTGGGGGAGGGGAGAACTTCTATTCCAAAATCCGGTATGTACAGGATTATAAGAAATAATTATTTTTAGAAATAATAGATGGGGAATATTGGTACCATATGGCACCTGGATACCTTATTAGGCGAAATAATAGAAAAGGGTAACAGTATCAATAAAAGAATATCAATCAATAACTGAAATGATGGTGAAATATGAAAATAAGAGAAAATAAGCGATATCTCAATGGATTTACGGAATTAAGAGCCTAAATTGGAAATGTAGCCGGAGATAACTCTCACGCAACCAATGAGCATTTTTACCAATTTATTAGACGCCGTGGGAACGAGTGAGGCTGGAATTCTGGGTTGCCGCTTGAGATTCCCACGCCCGCACATACTCGTGACCTGCTGTGCCTAACTCCTCCAACACGGAACTCCGTCAAATCTCCACCGATTGGGACGTTCTTGATATCGTCGGAATCGTACGAATTAGTACTATTTTTAGATACCGAATCCGTATCGAGTTGTTGTGTGAATGGAAGTGGTTTTATAGTCATGAAATCGGGTATCCAAGCCGGCTCTGCGTGTGGGCGATTATCCCGCCTACAGCGTCACTCACACTGTGTGACACAGCCATGTAACCGGACCATGTTGAACCAAATGCATGGTATGTGTTGCGAGCGAGTTGGCAAAGTTCCTCGAAAGTGCATGAATGGAGATAGTATCCCTCCTTTGTACACGCTGAAGGAGAGAACGAAGGAAGGTCAGTTGGGAGGTTCAAACGAGACCACCACCAAGCTGTTCCCTGGTTCTCTAGTTAGGATGGGGAAGTGTACTAGTGTTGTTTATTGTAAATATAGTACCAATCCGAGTGTTTTGGCTAATTCTATTTTTATGGGTTAGTTTTAAAGTTCCTGGGAATTGACTTACAGATAAACCGAGCCCTGCGGAGCTGTTTCTTTATTGAAATTTCTTAATTTGTCTAGGTGTAATTCTGTGTAGCGTTGTTTAATTTGGATTTAATCTTCTACTTGGTGAAGTTTCAAAGATTCTAATCAGTTAATGGATTTGGATTGTGTCTGGAGTGTCCCTTGAGTTTGTTTTTATTTTTGTCTTATTTTATTGCTTGTTTTAACAGTAGCAAGATAACTGTTTTGTGTTTACACTTTGAAATCTGGAGTGTTAACCAGCTCTCCTGTTGAAATATCTACTTAATATTTCTCTCCTTAAATGCTGCCGTTTACTACAGTGGCAATCTCAACTGTATATCACTTTTTTGCACTGGAGTGAAAACCAGAAATGCTTGAGAAAAATTATACTCTATTTTCTTACTTCTCTAAGGGGGGTGAAAAGTCGCAGAAAGGGTCTCCCTTTTATACTCCTTGGGTCGCCTTCCTTTTTCATGCTCTACCTTCTATTTACAGGATTTATTTACAGTGTATTTTTCTCAAACTGAATAAAAAATGAAAATTTCACGCTATAGTTCTACTGCACTTGTGCTGCACTGAACTGCGGTTCTACTGTGGTCAGACTGTGCTTAGAATCCTTATTGTCCTCCCTCGCCTAAGCTATTTTAATGGTTAATTGGAACTTGGCTGCGCTGTATTTGTCGCAGTTACCTATTTCAAATTCCCTATATATACCATTAAATTTGCTATGACTCGATGATTCTGAATTCAAACTTCGCATTACTATGCGTACGGCTGTGCTGAGACCTTCAGCTGATTTATTCCAATTTTATTTAGTGACATTTAGTTAAAATGAGACTGAAATGATAAATGAGTGAATTATTCAGGTTTTAAAACTGAAAGAAAAAGTTGCTAGTAGTCAATAATTACTCAAACAAATGTGTTATAGCTCTCCACTTCATTAGAACATCGTTCCCTAAAATTCCCGCCATGGTCCGTCGTAGTTTAGTGGTTTTCGTGAATTTTGTTCATATTCCCTGATTCCCCTTTGTATTATCACATCCTAATCCTCCATATGTATTGTTTGTTGTTATAGTAGGTTGTCCTTGAAGATATCATATTTTTATCTATTTTATTTAGGACTCTGGACCTCTTGAAGCTGTCTTCCCGTGCGTTTTCAGGTTTCTAACTTCATGTCCTTGTATCTCATTCATTTCTGGATGTTTTCTCACGTTCTTGGTATCATAAATTTTTATTTATTCCCACCTTTCCAATGGTACTAAGGTTGTGTCCTATTTCCTGGTATTCGTTGAGTTAGCAAAGATTTGCGCACACATTTGGTAATCACGTGTGTCGTTCCCATAGTCATTCGTATGTGGGTGCCGTTTTCGTTTAATTGTTCGGGATTTATGATATGCATGGGTGTTTATTTCTTTCATATGGGCTTCTGTGATTTATTTCAGATTTTTCCCTCATGATCTAAGGTTGTTTTGCACTTTCTGTGCTTTGTTTTGACTGGGCTCTTCCTTATTTGGATGGAAATTGGTCTTCGCGATCTGCCAAAGTGCGGATCTCAGTTCCAACGGCCAGTTCCCTGCGCATCACCACCCTCACGTGTCATTATACATGATGCGGATTTCTATATTCCCGTCATGGGTATAACTTCACAATGGCTGGACCGTTTGGGCTGAAAATTTGCATAACTATAGTTCCCCATTTTTAATAATTTCCGTGTAAATTTCGTTGTATGTTTTAATTATGGATCCTACGCAAACATCGTCTTTTCCCTGAGCTCGGACTTTTGATGTTGTTAGAATGGGCGGAAACGGACGACTCCGGAGTGGAATCGGAGACTTAGCGTGGAGGGACCTTGGCCTCAGCGACTCAAGCGGAGCGCTGTGCCATTGCTGTTTGTCCATTTGGTCCTTAATTTCACAGTAGGTGAGCAGGAAGTCTCTTGGGGGCATTTCAGGTCGATTTCGGACTAAAACCAAAACGAGTATGTACAAGTGCCGATATATATAATGGAAGGGGCAAAAGCACAAAGAGAACAAAGGGTGACCAAATCGGAACGAAGACGTCCGAACGGGAACAAAGGGTAGAGGGAGCGGAGCGGTACCGGGGGTCATGGGGCGGGACCTGTGATACGTCCGAAAGGAGGTAGAGAGGGCGAGGCCCAGAGGGGCAGGAGGATGAGGGGAAGTGGGGATGATGACTAACTGGCTAGAATAGAAAGAAGCAGTAGTCCAAATAGGGATGAAGGGAAAATGCGAGAAATACATTACAGGCGGCGAGAGCGCCGAAGGCGGTCCGCGAAGCTCGGGGGTTGCGGAGCTTACGGAGGTTACGGAGGCGGGGTTGGAAGTCCGAGGAATATTGGCAATGGTGTTTACGTAGTATGAGGTCACCAATGCAATGGACTAAGGCCGAGGTGGAGTCAAAGTCCGAGGTAGGGACTATGACAGAGGCTCAGAGTAAGGTACGAGCGGTGTCCGAGTGCGAAGTACGGAACAGCGGTGGAAGGTCGTAACTTGGCGGAAGGGTGGCGGAGGAGTAGCAGAGGGAGGAGAGAGGGGAAAGGTAAGGGAGAAGGAGTGGCGGAAAGAAGAGTAGTCAGGTCCGAAGATGAGTATCGGAGCAGACGGGGGAAGCGTAGGAGGATAACGGGAGGGTGGAGGTGTTGTGAAGGGGGAGCGGAGTAGTAGGAAGGGTGGCGAGTGGGGCGATGTTCGGTCCGAGATGAGTATTGGAGCGGACGGAGATAGGGTCGGAGAGGTAAGGGGGAGGTGTGTTGCCAGGACCGAAGGTGAGTATCGGAACAGCAGCGGTAGGTTATGACTCCGGAGGTGAAGAGGGTGGAGGTCCGGAAGTCGGGTCGGGGTCGGGTATGCACGGATATGACAGATGTCACTATTCCCGTTATTGGATATCTCATTAACGCATGATCCTTTTATTATGAAACTTTGGGAGGATTAAGATTAGATCCCTTCCTTTCTAATGGGCTATCAAGCTTGTCTCGGTCGTTACTAGTTAATCTCCGCGCTTGCCTTTTAGACATTGTCCTCATTTTGCAGGAGTTTTAGTCATATCTCCGTCATTTATGGGTAGTTTCCCCTGTAATTACTCTCATTGGGTCCGTTTGGGGGACATCTACATTTCCTATTATAAACATGACTTTGAATTTTGCATTAGTTCCTGAGGAATCCTTGTTCCGTGGTACTTCCATCCTTGGCTATGTGTGCGGACGTGGGAAAGTAGTTTCCATGGAGGTTCTCTGATTATTTTTTTAGTAAAATCTTGGTCGATTGTCCTAATTCTTGGTTTAATATTTGCTATAAATTCCCCCAAGAATTCCATCTCGTTGATGGTAAGCTTGAAGTATTTTGCTATTTTTCTTTCTTTCGATTTATTGTGTATAGTCATAATAATTCGTAAAAATTCGTAAAATTCGTTAAAATTCAGGTCCTTCTATTTTCTCATATCTACTTGTTGTATGAGGTTTTGTGATTTATCTGGCATATTTCCATAATGGGTTTCCATAGTGTGGCCGTTATTTCTCCTACAACGCTTCCAGCTCTTCTGTAAGGTGCATCAGCTTTCCATCTTGCCTCATCGGGAATTTCAATGACTTTTGATGAAGCATATTTCTAAAATCTCATATATGAGTTGTGGAAGTGGAAGTGGAAAGTGGGAATACCTGATGTAATTTAGTCTCATTGCAGTGAGCACGACTTCAACAAGTCTCTCAGCTGGGTAGAAATCGACCTTGTTTGGGTTTAAATTTTGGTGGAGCTTATCAGCGGCAAAGTGAAGGCCGATGTCACCCTTTTCAGTCTGCTCTGGCCAATGCACCTTGATGATATCCTTGAGCATTGCAAACTTTATGTGCCAAAGCTCAATCAGGGGTAGGATATAACGATTGGATGAGAACCAAGTGGACCCTGAAGAAGTGTGACACTTGAGAGTTCGGATATGTGAGATCGTGGCCTGATCACCAGAAAATGGTATGAGGCGCCCCTCGAGAGCATGTGGAGGGATGCGGAGTTGGTGCTCAACAACATCCCAAATTGTCTGCCGGTTTCCTATAGTGGTTGCCTCATCAAAGCCCGATGTCTCAAGGGGAATGACTTCGGTTTTCTGGAGTGGCATTGGGTGAATGGCAAAAGTGTGTCTGAGATCATCAAAATCAGTCTTGTGTCACCTCAGGCCAGGTACATGATCAAGTAAAAGGCATAGTATGTTGATGACACAGACATTTTCCAGATGTTTTCGGTCAATGTCCTCCCAGATCTTTGCTAACGTGATGTCCTCACATTTGACACATTGCCAGTGTTCCTCATATTCAAAGCCGTCAAAAGCCTCGGGAGCCACACCCGGCTGCATAATTAGTGTCGCAGCGGTCCCACTTTCTAGAGATGTTTGTGAAGAGAGGGAAGGTCGCCAGTTTTGGTGGTATTGGTTGATGTTATCATAAACAATGTGAAATGACACAAGTTTGTTGACCCAGTTTGCCCCTATAGTGCGAATTCTTTCAGATGCAACTGCACTCATTGAGTACAGGCGCTTGAGTGTTGAGCTGTTTGCGACTGCAAGTCCCATTCGGCCAGTGATTGACTGAAGCGACTTGGAAGAATTCTCGGAGAACATGAGTATCCCCATGATACTCTGGAATTTGTTTAGCCCCTTATTGTGAAAGTACAGTAGCATCATCAGTGCAACAGCACATCCCTCAAACACTGTCAGTTGCTTCTCTGGCAGGTACTGATTCCTTTACTCACTAAATAAGGGTCCTGTACATGATTAGCCCCACGTCCCTTCCCTGAATCCCTGAACTTCATTTCCTTTAGTTGCGCAGCTCTCTCTCCACCGACTGCAATCCATGTAAGCAGCATCCAGGTCACAGGTGCAACGCTAACTGCAATCTTCTGGACCACATCAACTGAGAAGTCTAGGACCGTGTCCCAGCTGAATTGATTTGTGGATGTATCCCTTGCTCGCAAGTAAGGGGATTTCAGTAGAACTCTGATTTCTGATTCCATTCGGTCAATGACTCGTGCAATGAAGTAGTGTTGTAAGTCGCTGTATGTGTTTTTGCTGTCCATCTGGGTGTTTGGCTGAGAAAACATTGTTGGAATGGCATATTCTGGCAATGTGTCATAGGGGGGTTCATAGGATTGTTGGGGCCGTGCCCATGGGTGGTTGTATAATGCATGTACAACATCAACTGGATGGTTCTTCACAGTACGTCCCCCTATGAACCACTTCAGCATCTCCTTTGCCAGTGCACTGAATTCTATGGGGTTGCTAAACAGAATAACAAGAAACTCGCCAAGCATGAAGTTCTGTGACTTCAGTATTGACAGTACAAGTTCTACAATTGCAGGAGGCTTGAGCCTCAGCCGATCATTCTTTGGGTATATTTGCTCAACAGTAGAATTGTGACACATGGAACACCTGAAGGTGCTTGGCTGTGTATTGCTCTGCCCTGCCAGTGTCTGGGAACAACTAGAAGCCATTGGTTCCCACATGACAGGGTCGGGCAGATTTTGTTTTCTGGTATGCACTTCTCGGTTAAGCCTCTTGGATGGCGAGAGTGGTTCCAATGTGCCTCTAGTTGACTCCACCTGCTGACCAGTGGCAGTGGCAGCTCCCCTTGAATTTTCACAGATTTTTTTTACTGGGGAATCTTCATCCTCCATAACTTTGCATTTGGGACGGCCTCGTGATGGGATTGAAGGTGATGCATCACTGTGAGCTTTATTGGAAGAAAATCTTGCTTGTGGGATATAGCCAATATTTCCTGTTGGACCAGAGGTATAGAAATGAGGTAGAGTAGGGATTTTGACCATGAACGGATTCATCAAAGGACCTGACACACCCAATGGGCAATTTGGACGTGTTTGTACAGTAAACATAAACAAATAATTTTTATTCCGAGTTCGTCCTGGAATTCAACCCAATCATATTGATTATGTAAGGCATGGCAACAGCGAAGACCCTTTTCCAACTGTGACAACCATTCAGTAAAAATCCCCATTCATGAACCGAGGGTTGAATCCAGCCTCTATATAATATTACGAAGTCATAGAGGCTGGAGTCCTGCCTAGAGCGGACTCATGTACTGGAGATTGGCCAGCTTGCATAGTGAGTCTATAATGGAGTATCTAGGAGGTGTTGAGCCCAACGCCCCTGGGCTGAGCAAGTACAGCAAGCCGAGACTTGTGCTGATGTTCATACACTCAGTCCGCTCACAGCACACAGTTGACTGGACAGTGACAGAGAACAGGCTTGACCCCTGTAGCCTTCATGGGATCCGGCTCGGATCTCAAGTGCTTGGCATGGCTGTGGCTTTCAACTGGAGATGCTCGATTTGGGAACCTCTTGCCATTAAATGGCTGGCCATCCAATACATGTGTGTTACTCGATTGTGCACAGACACTACATTCAAGCGCACATCTCAGGCACCCTCGTGAAGCTGAGGAGTTGTGGTGTGAGTATGGATGTGCTCCGCCGCCAAGCTGCAGTACACTCAGCAATAGGATCAAGTCTGACAAGAGCTTCTAATTCCCTGCCTGCATACACCTGGCCGTTTTCCCAATATTACCAATGTAGTTCCACACCCTCACCGTGCATCTTCTAATGAAATAGGAGCTATCGTGCATAACTCAGTCTCGAAATAGAGAACTCGTATTAAGATTTTTACCTATCGCGTGTAACTATAACATGAAAATACAATGAGTTATGTGCAAACACAGATAGGAAAGAAATGGTATCACCTCAGTCTCGAAATAGAGAACTGAGGGAGGGAGAAAAATTACAGCATCCAGCGTAACTTATATGACTGGAGCCAATATCGCTTAAAGCGATTGCCAGTGACAACTGGCGATATAAGACAAAGTAAATTGGGAGCGCGTGGTACTGTGACTCTGAAACAAAAAGGTATAGTCATTGTTAGTCATGACGATATTAAGTTAAAATAAAAACTCCCCAATCCACGCTGCAGCTCAGCTGTTGTCGATGAGCGTTGATATTCCAACATCTTCTGGAATCTTTGCCTCTCCATAGACATTGCCAATCTCCCCCATCATTCTGATAAATATCAAGAATTTTAACTGGATTGGATATCCCGACCACAACTTCGTACCTTTTGCTTTTTTTCCCTCTGCTCTGGCACCTAGTTCTATTTCCAAGTCATCATCTTCCGCCTCCGATTTCTTCTATCTAGGGACATGGACCTTCCTACATTGATTCTTCCGGAGGACGAATGTTCAGCCCAGACCTCTATTTCAACGACACCAGGCTACTGTCAGGGCACGGCCTAACCGGCTACCCTGACCCCCTATGCCGGAAGGGAGTTGCCGTCAGACGACCTGGAGAGATCCGAAGAACACAGGTAATCTCGCTTAGCTCTCGCTTAGCACCCCGCTTCCATCTTCCATCCACATGTCACCCCTTTCCCACACCTCGCTTACGATTATCCAAATGAATAGCTATCTTTTCATGTCATCATTCTATCGGCTGTTTCTTATCTCGTTTGTAGCTGCACTCTAGTGGATAGCGGTATCCATGTATATAAGCCCTATCTCCGCTGAAGGTGGCACTTCAGCGTTAACAATGACTAGGATTCTCGGGAACACCTTTATCGTCATGAACTGACACACGGTCCCTGACAGCTACCGGAACCCCTGGCAGTAGCGCTACTGGCTCCCAGAATGCAGGTGAAAGTTCAGTAGATTCTGTTGGTGGTGAGTGGTATCTGCGAGCCTTGCTGTTCAAGCCTTCGATACCCTTATTAGAAATGCTCTCCATGTTGTCCCTATCCCAACACACAAATTGCCGGAGACTCTTTCAATAACGCAGATACCATTTCAGTTTTCAGTTCAACTTCGCTAAGCCCTGTGACCATCGATCCTCCCTTATATCCTAAACTAGCCTCCGTCGATGATTTCCTCTTCGAAGGATGGGTTTTGTAACATCTCGAACTTTCACTCATTTTGACTCTAATAGCTCGATGCCGGCATCAAGCCCTCACTCAAACCCCCTTCCGATGATGACGATGCATTTTCCATGAAAGCACTATCGCTTCACAGTCGACTTAACACCCCCATTCCCCATTCCTCCACTTCTTTTCAGTGTTGCCCCATCTATTACTTCCTCGGGGCCCGAATGCCTTTCCTCCAACAACCCATTTTCCATAAAAGCACCGTCGCTTTGCAGCCAACTCAGTTGCACCTTTTCTCATTCCTCCACCTCATTGTCAACCTTGTCCACAATTGCCCAATCCTTTACCTTGTCCTTCAGGAAAAAAGTCGCAAGCATTGCGTTGGCAGGTGCTTTCTTCACAGAATGCTCTCGGCCATATCGAGAATTTCCTGTACAAACTTTTTGTGAAAGTTTATTCAACAGTCCTCGTGCTGTTAGTGCTAGGATTGTGTCTGTTCAGCGATATGGTGATGTTTTAGGAGTGCAACATTGGTTCCTCATCTTTCACATTGCTCGAGCCAACGGGAAGGACTTTTTTTTTTTTTTTGGTGGAACCTTTGATAGCTTTCGTGGGCAGGTATGCCTGGATGGATGGATTCATTACTCTGCACACAGAGTCACTAACCACTCCCGATATTACACAATTGGCGATGCTGAAAATTTGTCATCATCTTCCCTTTTGGGTTGTTTGCTTTTCTTTACATGCTTTCTTTTACGTCATCTTGCCTGTCCTTTACTTTCCTTCCACCATTTCCACTCCCACTCGGCTCTTGTCCTTAAAGTCTTGGCTTACAGCCGTTTGCAGAAAAATCTGCCATCTTGAATTTATCGGGTATGTGACCCTGGTCATTCATTTTCCTAAAAAAGTTGGAAGGATCAGGTTCAACGAAATTGGATTCCCTTATATGGATAAGCAACTTAGCGCCGGGGTCCAATCGCCCATGCAAGCAACAAGAGAGTGTACAATATTGACAACTGATGTCAACCCAGCACTATTGCTTCTCCTACTCACAGCCTACCATTGACCACTGTTGGCACTTAGCGTTCTGTGATTGGGGGACCAAGAGTGTGTGAGGGGCACATGGAAATCGGCCAGGTGTGCCAGGGAATGGGTGGTGGGACATCCGGACATGGAGGGGGAAGTGGCAAGCACATCGAAATTGGCGATTGCGGCAGCACTGGAGGGTGCTGAGGGGCTGGAAGGGGAGTTGGAGTGACCAAATGTGGTGAAACTGGCTGCCTGGACGATTTTGAGGTGGACCTGCACGACGATTGTTGGTTGGCATTGGGGTGTTCTCAGCTGAGTCTCTTTCATCTGGCTTGGGGTTTTGTGATTGAGCGACTAGCTAAGTTCTATTCACATTTCAAATGCATCAAGAAGGCCGTCGCTTCATATCTGTTTGAGATGAGGCCTTCCAGCACCATTCTGATGCGCTCCCAGCCCATCCCAGCCGATTTTCCTCCCAAATCGCCTGCTCCAGCACCATTAACCCAATTTTGTGTCAACCTCATGCAATCACGTGTCCACTTGTGCAGATGCGACTGGTTCATGAACTGGTGCCAAAATTGAAGCTGGGCATATACCCCAGTGTGTCAGGGCACGCCTTCGGGTCGCTAGCGTAAGTAGTGCATTGCCACATGACCCGTATCTCCATCAGCTTCTACTTCTTTTCTTCTTCTTCATCTCCGATCTGATCCGATCTGCGGCTGTCAGTTATGACGCTGCATGATCTTCTATCATTCTTGATCCGATACTACCGGTTATTAGCTATTTGACTAGTTACCGCCTCTATCGTGTATATATGACCATGTGCTGGGATGGGCATGTCCCCCAGCTTTGATATCAATTAGGTTTCTGGGGCATCCTTCGTTGCAAGCATGCATGACCCTGACACAGTGCTGCTAGGGGAACTGATTGCTGATGGCAAAAGCGGGTGAGGCGGTAGATGGCTGCTCCTGTGGCCAAATCATAAGCCCTTTCCCTCTCAATCGTCTCCAGTGTTAGTTGCCTCCATTCCAATAATAAAACCAGTGTTGCACCAAGATATTTTGACATTGGCTTCATAAACATCTATAATGGATGGTCCTCGCTTTTATTCTTCCGTTCCTCTTTTTTAATCCTCTCTTTGTACTCATCCAAATACATGTTGTATCGAGCGAAAGAGTGGTGGGTTCTGCCGCATCAGGTGGTGATCACCAGTTATTTTTATAGCCTA